GGGTGTGAAATAACACCCCCGTGAGCACCACAAGTTTCAGCGCTGTAAAGTGCCAGTGTAGACAGTGCACTAGCGCTGGTAGCTATTCCCCTCATGGAAGTGGGTTTTTTATAGTGCTGGGAGAGCTCTCTCCCAGCGCTATGCCAGCGCTACACAGACACGTTAAAGTGCTGGCATGTCCTTAGCAATGCCCACCAGAAATGCCTGGACTTGTGTTGTCCTACCACATCAACAAAGGGTAAGAAACAGAACAGTGGCCACATGCTTGGCCTTTCTCCTGCCCCCACCTATGCTGCAAGCAACAAGGACACTGAGAAGACTTAAGAGTCCAAGAGAGGAGACTGGCCCAGGTTTCAAGGGTGAAATCTGTGTACTATGAACTGCAATATTCAGTGGGGTGAGAAAAATAGCTTAATCTAGATGTTGCCCAGTCTAATAGGGTTGAGAGCTTGGACTGCGTGCTTATATTTTCTTTTCTTTTTGTAACTAACTCTGACTTTTTGCCTATCTTTTGTAGTCAATACATTTGTTTAACTGTTTATTTTTACCAATGAGTTTGTATGAAGTGTGTGTGGCAAAACCGCTCAGGGTTGCAAAGGCTGGTGTATATCCACTTTCCATTGAAGAAGTGGTGAACCACTTAATAAATTTGCACAGTGCTGAGAACTGTGGGGGATTTGTCTGGTGCCTTTCTCTGTGTGATTCATGAGTGGTTCTGGGAGCATTCATGCAATCTAGCAGGATGGGGGGCTCCACATGCTGTTGTGCTGACTGATGACAGCGTCTGGAGGGGTTTGCTGCTTGTCACTAGCAAAGCATTTTGAGAGACAGCCCAGGATGGGAAGTTAAGGGGGCACAGTGGTCCCACAGTCCCAGTTTGCTCCTTGGGAATCCCGTCACACAGTGCTGTAGAGATTTTTTTTTTTTTTAAATATAGCCACCATTTCTGAGGTATGCCAAAAATGTTCAAGTTGTCTACCTCTGAGCATTATAAATATAGTTCATGATGCTGTGGTACAAGAGAACTGTTGTTCACTTCTTCTCTAATTGAAACAAAAAGAAACCCAAAAATTATATTTACCAAATCAAAAAATACAAAACTGAATAAACTTCACGTACCAAAGGGTCTAAAAAAATGGAAATGCAGTTGTAAGAAAGACTAACATTTACTGGTTCTAGAACCAGAACTGTTTCCCACATTTAGTTTTTAAACCAGGAATTACCGGACGTTTGGTTCATATCTATCTATCTTATCACTAAAGAAAAAAATTTAAGATGATGTTCATTCATATTAAAAAATTGGTCATTAATAAATTCAACATAAATTGGCAAAATAAAGCCATTCAAAATATTACAGCTTATCTAGAAAAAAAAACATTTTGTTTTATGTGTTAAATGGAAAAGAAACTTCTCACTCTTTAAAACTAATTACTTTAGAAAATCTTCTATTAACCATATACAGATTTGCTAATCACCAAATAAAAGCAGCACTACACACCCGTCTTTACTTTTACGTAACATTCTACCACGGCTTTTTACAGGTTTTTTTTTTTTTTTAAGATAATATTTTATTTCTGGAGAAGTTTCATTGTCCAATTGTTTTATAACTGTATAAATACAGGATTAGATCAGACATACAACAGCAAGATTAAATTTGATTTGCAAGTGTTTGTAACAGTCATACTGAATTAAGATACCATTTTTAGCTATAGGATCACACAACTGTAGGTCGTTTGGGATAAAATTATATTAAGCCTTTAAAGTAATTTTTCTAACTATTTTTGTTATGCTAGATTATAATTATGTATAGAAATTTACATGGTAATGTAATTGTAATAAAAAATTATGAAAGGGTACAGAGACCAGGCAGGGTTTTTATTCATATTAGGGAACAGGGGTTTAACTACCCAGCCAGAACACATCTTTTAAACAAGACTGTCACATTACATGGTCCACAGTGGCCACCCAAACAGTGTTAAAAACATTTTAGCTAGAAACTGATTAAAGTAAGTTTACAGATGCCCTACTAAAACCAGTAAATGCCTCAGGTTTGACAGAATAGGTACTGCACAGGCAGCAGGAGCGGAAGCTTCCCTCAATGCCCCACCCATGTGCTTCAACCCTGATATGAAAACAACAAGGAGTCTGGTGGCACCTTAAAGACTAACAGATTTATTTGGGCATAAGCTTCGTGAGTAAAAACCTCACTTCTTCGGATGGCAGACAACTTTAATGGTGAGAGGAGAGTTTAGTCTCTATTGCCCAATCAATCCTCCATTCCTTTGCTGAGACAGCCTATAAAATTGGCAATCAGTGCTAACTGTTGTAGTGGTGATGTAAAGTGGATGCTCATCTAAGGGGATACAGATGAAATGAGTTTGATCTCTCACAGACCACCAGATAGCCATTTGATACTGGGACACTTCACTCCCTTGTTAATCTGAATGGGACTGAAATCATGAATCAGAAAGGTATAAAGCTCTATTTTACATTTCCAATCACACCCCAGCAAATCTAATTATATTATTTACCTCTCTCTCATTGCCTAGAGAAAGATGTATCAAAAAACTGTTTAAGGGATTCTTGTGGAAGTTCACCATTTCTGAACCAGAACTATAGCAAGAAGTCTATAAATGTACTCCTTTTTGTGCTATCATGTAGTTTTCTGATTCTCTTGACTTTTCTTTTATTTATTTTTAATAACTTTTGCAAGAGCAGGGTAAAATTCCCCATTATGAATTTTACCTGTAAGTTTAGTTCTTATTAGAACTTTCTTCAAAAGCAATGGAAGTCTTAAGTGTGATATAAACTTGTAAGTTACCTTCCTCATCCTCCTCCAGCCATGGGTGGTGGACTGGGACCTCCACCGTGATTTATCCGACCCATTCTACGACGAGGATTTCCTGGAGGCCTAATTAGAGAGTGGGGAAAACATCAGTAAATACTGTCCATCACTATGCAACTATGACAATGGTCTCCATCTGGTGCAAATACACTGTTCCTAAGTTCCCATTCCAACAGCCTGCACCTTTTTTGTACTGCAAGTGTCTGACTGCTAAAAACAAAGAGCCGAATTGACCCCTTCTATGTGAAAAGCTACAGGAGGAAGCTTTTGACAAGAAAATCGCCACAAGAATTCCCTGGTGAAGACTGCTCCAAATTACCCCAACCCTTCAGAAGTAAAGTTGCCCTTAAATTGGCAGATATCAGGGGATGCATAAGAAGCTAGGACCATCCATGAAGAGATCCTGACTCCCATTCTGTGACAGAGACTGCTTATAGGTCCAGACTTTTTATAGTCTGGGGGAAAAAAAAAAGGCATATATAGGAAGGTATATATCTTAGTATTTATGGGCACATTAACCTAACTTCCACGAGGAATGGAGGGCTTAAGGTCTATGTGTAGGTTAAAGGTCTAACCCATGAATATATTATAAGAGAAAGATTTCAGCCAAATAAAACCAAGAAAAATGTAAAATACCTTCCATGACATACATTTGGAAAATGCTGTTAAATATAAGTTAGGATTTGTATTCTTGCATTTTAGGCTATGCAACAGATAGAGAATGATGATCTTATATTATAGAAAGTTACATATGTCTTAAATTTCTTGGTCTGACTTCTCAATTTGTTCTTAATTAAAGCATCACAACTCTAATCAGTTTATTCTAAAACATTCTCCTCACATATAAAAACAATTAATCTACACATATGAAGTTGAAGAAAAGCAATACCCTCTTCCATCATCATATCTTGAGTTTGAGGAAGATATACAACCTCTTCTTCTCAAATCTGGCTTAACAAGGCTCTGGAAGCTAAAAATAAAGGAAACAAGAGTGATATGTGTTGAATGCTAGAAATTAACAGTTTTCCAGCAATGCTGGACTATATAGCAAAACACTGGATGCAAAAGCAATAACTGATGTTCAATAATGGAAGTACTGTACATTAGCACCAGAAAGCATACTTGGATAATACTATTTTTCAAATTACTTGTTACTTCTGAATAAGAGGAGATCAGAAATTCTATTTCTAACTACTGATTAATGGGTCAAAAATTGAGTAAAGAGTTTAAATAATTCCGAATTGATTTAAGATTGAAATAAACCTGAGTTGAATACTAAGCATTATCCAGGGGTAGGCAACCTATGGCACATGTGCCAAAGACGGCACGCGAGCTGATTTTCAGTGGCACTCACACTGCCCGGGTCCTGTCCACCAGTCCGGGGGGGCTCTGCATTTTAATTTAATTTTAAATGAAGCTTCTTAAACCTTTTAAAAACCTTATTTACTTTACATACAACAATAGTTTAGTTATATATTATAGACTTATAGAAAGAGACCTAAAAATGTTAAAATGTAATACTGGCACACAAAACCTTAAATTAGAGTGAATAAATGAAGACTCGGCACACCACTTCTGAAAGGTTGCCAACCCCTGCACTATACAATATGTTCTGTATCTACTTGCATACATTCTAGCTTCTCTAACTGCAAGATGTGCATAAAAGTCAAACCTGGAATTTAAACAGTAAAAAGCATAAGTGAAGTCTGCAGAAGTGTCATTCAGTCTTCTAATTTACTTGGAGTTGAGACAGAATCTAAACTTGATTTACGCATGCATGAAGTAAATCGTGATTACCACTCTGCAGTTATTTTTATGCCAGCTAGAAGCTACTGACCTAGGCATTGCTGCCCCAAGGTTTGTTGATACGCTTATTTGACTGAGTACTCAAAACAATTCTACCAAAACATATACCCTTCAATAACTATTTAGAGAATTAGAAGTAATCATGACTAAAATGATCAATATTTAGGTGATAGCAGCTGTGATATATTAAAATCCAGTGGTAACAAGATAGTATCAGTTTTTACATTTGGTAACTTGACAATACTAAACATTACATGACTACTCACAATAAAACCACAAAATCTGCTATGCCCCAGAAGAAATCTGTTATAAATGACAAACTCCAAGGAGCCCGACTCTGGGTATCCAACACTTGTCCTAGAACATATAGGATACAGTAAATACATTAAAATGCCATCAGTGATATGAATAAATTCCATTGTATTATGTGTTACATGAAAAAAGTATTCATCAGCTACCAGTGATATTTAAAAATATCAGCAAATATCACAAACAGTGAATCAGCAAATGGCAGGAAGAAAATACATTTTACAAATATTGTCACTGGCAAGTTTCTTTTCCTGTAATTACATTACACGTTTGTAGAAATAAAACTGCACAAGCTGAATCATTTATAGAAAGTGAACCACCACCATCAAAATTGCACTGCATACAAGGTAAATTAACAATGAGGAACAATTCTGTTTTTATGTTCCATACGTAGCAGTATTTTTACTTAGAAAACCACTATCTGCTATCAAAATACATTTACCAAAGTTTCTATTATTTTTCTGGTCTGAGTTAGAGATAAGCCTGAGCTACACAATTTAGTTCCAGCTCGTAGCTTCCTCAAGACTGGTGGGGTTTAGATATCATGTGCAAATCTGGCCCATCAAAGTAAATAGCAAAACTCTTATTGACTTCAATGGGGCCAGCATTTCACCCGTGGCATTTTGGTCCAGGCCAGTCTTTAGTCTAGACTAATAGTAACTGGCTACAAATGTACTATACAGGGGCTAATACCAAGTCTATTCTATGACAGGCTCATAAAGTCTAACAAAGAGGTTTACTAAATATTAACCATTATAGAAGGAAGGCTAACTGCAAGTTAGAAATGAAGGGTTGAGGGCTAAGTTGTAAAGTTTCTAATTCTTGTTAGTGACTTTGCCATGTGACATTAGCAAGATGAATGTTTCTTATTATTGTCTCCAGATTTTGGGAGGTAAGGATGCCTCTCAAATTAACATGCCTCAAGATAGGAAATACCGAACAGTAGTGCCAGATAAGTTTGTGAGAGTCAGATAAAGCAGGTTCTTGCCTATGGCCTCTGCTTCATAATTACGTGTGTCTACTTTAATGATGACACAGTAAAGAAGAGACCGTGTCCCATCTACATGCAACACGAGTACATTTCTCTCTAACCAGAGAGGAAAGGTTGAAGTCTGGCTACGTTTCACAGCTCATCACTTTACGTTAAATGGTAGGAAGATGTTCAAACAGGAGGCACAGCAGGGCACAAAAACACTTTGATTCCCTGACACCTGGACCCTTGTTTTCGTCTGCAGGTCCCGCCAGGCAGCAGCCCAGCGCCCTCCACTTGACGCAGCAGCGGTGCCTGGGTTGTACAGACCCCGAGATGAAGAGAAGGG